CCAGCTTTCAACCACTTTTTGCAAAAATTGTTACCGTAAATCAGCAATGACGATCTGAATATTATTTTCCAAGTCGTCAATCCCCTCGCACTTAGCTACGTAGACAATCGACGACACATAACCCCACAAAAATAGTCCAGCGAAGTTAAGTCGTAAGGGAAGCCATACCACAGGTCATCATCACGAGATATTGCGCTCCCTAAAAGCTTTCATCAATAAATTGATTGCATGTTGGCTGTATGCGCTGACATCTAGTTTGAACCAAAAGTTCGTCCACATTCCCTCATCCTTCAACTCAGACACGAAAATGTCATTAATCATGGCTTCTAAAACATATGGATTAATATTTTTTTCTGCTCACAAAATAATGGATTATTATCACTACAAAAGTGAGCTTCATTCTTCGCTGAGCTAAGTTTTCTTACGAAAATCAGGATCGGATTCATTCACCAAATATGCGACGCACTTGATGGTCACTCGGCTTCAGTTCTTGTACTACGAGTTGTATGTTGTAGGCACGCAGAACAAGATCCTTCCGGAAACCCAGTCAAATCTATTGCACGCGATTGCGGGTGGACTCATTTGGGTCTTCTTCGATACTCGGATCCACAGCAGCGACAGCACCTTCGGCGCGCACAATACGGTGCACCTCTTAGTATGCTCGTCTTTCGACCGAGCTCCCCCTCTAATTTGTGGTTTTGTAACAAAAAAAAAAGATCACGAGCTGTCTCCGAACGGCCAATTGATTTTAATGAGGAGCTATTTGTTTCACATCAGAAATTCACACGGAGGGGAGTCGGCAATATGAAGAATTAACTAAATTTTTCAATTAAATTAATTTTCTTAGATTTTTTAATGTTGGTCAGACTAGTGCTCGAACCATGGTCTGCAGAATGACAACCACTCGGGTATATATATGTTTATTTGTATTGGAAATGCGTCTCCCGAACCAAATTTCGAGTCTGTCGAGCCTGTGAGAAAGTCCCAGCTTCTTTTATTGCGAATGAAGAGGTCAAGCTACTTCATAAGACTCAGATCCATCCAAGCTACATCAAGATAATGTAAAAACTATCCTTGAAGATTGGTCTCCCAACATCACTAATAATCTTCCCATATGTGTTACGAAAACTAACACTCCCCTCCTCTCTCCCTTCTTTTCCGTTAGTTCTCTCTGTGTATATCCCTATCTCTTTCTCCTCCCTCTCTCTTCTCTCACTCTCTTTCTCTTATCTCTCTATCTTCTCTCTCTCTCTCTCTTCTCTCTCTCTCTCTATATATATTTCTCTCTCTAATATTTTTCTATTTTCTATCCTCTGCTTTTAAGTGGATCAAAGCGCTGAGTTTGTGACCACAACCCGACTGCTAGAGGTGAGCGCTACTTAATATTTCGATCCATTCTACCTCAGACAACAGCAACTATTCGAAAAAAATAATTTTTTTCCTGCGATGTCGCACTTTTTTTCAGACAAGCCACCTGGACTCCACTCAATGCACTCGTACATGCTTTCAGTAGATTAGCATTCACACATATTGCCTTAATTCCGTTATTTAAGAAATTATTCGGTGGTAGAAAAGCTTAAAAGTGCATTAAAATTTAAACATTTCAGATAATTCCGCAATTTACAAGCAGAATATAAAATTAAAAATAGAAATAAAAATAAACTCAATTAAACTACCAAAAGACTGCCACCCACAACAAGTCAATACAAGCACCGGAGAAGATTCTTAAATACGAAATTTATGTAATTGACGAACGCGTTGAAGTTCAAGAGCTCGACAAGCTGCTGACGGACACAGTCGCCTGCGGAGGACTGGAGCGCGCAACTACTGATGCCACTGCACTGGGTTTTCTTCTTTTCTTCGTTGACATGCATTTAGTGCATTTTCCTTTCTAATTTTATTACATTTTCACGCACCCACACGCAAACACACGCACACGCGTCCGACCACCCGCCCACACTTATTTATATGAAAAAAAAAATCACCGAATTGAATTGACAGCTGATAATGCCGAGTGTGGAATGAGCGAATGATTGAATAAAAATAGAAAACTAAAAAAAAAATTAATACAAACATATATACATACACATGCACATACATATATTATATTGTATTTGTAATCCGAAATGTAATTTCCTCACCAAATAATTGAAAATCAAATTGAAATTTTAAATCCAAAACTAATCGGCTTTCGGCTGCACCATCGCCTGTGTGTGCTGCCGCCAGTTCGTTCGTACACACTCGTACACTGCTCTGCTCTGCTTTGCTCAGCTGCGTCATGCCATGTCACGCCAGGCATTGCACAATGTAATCGGTGTCGATTGACAGCTGCCATAAATCGATCGTCACCTTGGAGACGCGCGCTCGTACATACATGTATGTACATAAATTTGATCGTCTTAAGGTGTGATCGGCTATGCTTCATTGCCGCTTTTTGGTGTGGCGTGTTGATGAATGAATGTAGCGAAGGCGAAGGGGAATGCAGATATGTATGTATGTAGAAAACTTCTATTGAATGTTTGTAAGTACTTAAGGTGCATAAAAGCGCATAGCTTAGCTGCTTATGTTCATAGAGTGCTTTTGTTCTGCGAAAAATTAATCGATTTTGAGGTTATGTAAAGAAGATTTAATAAATTTGCGGCTCTACGTTGATTTATGTTTGACAATAAGCCGATCAACAAACGAGGAAATAGACAATTTGATGATATACAAAAAAAAAAAAAGAATGTCTGAAAAGAGTTTTACATACTTCCAACCAAATGCGGGCGTAGAATTTCCGTACTGGGAGAGAACGAAAAAATGAAAATATCGATGGTAAGCGCAGATTAGATTTTAAGTGTAAACAAGTGGGTGTGGCGACTAAGAAAAGCTGAAGAGGCATAAAGTTCCTTTGTGATTTCAGTAAAATAGGTGAAGGCTTATGATTTTTAAAACCATAGATCCCAACAAAGAGCAGGACATACAGTTTATACTAAGCCGTCTTCGAACGTACAATGGATTCTTGTGAAAAGCTTACCTTTCAAGTCAGAAAAACACTGGGAGCGATTGAAATTCCCCGCCGAGGGGCGACCGCAATTATAAAGATTAGTCCTAATAGTATTCACACCGTGGTCTTTCGATTGGCAGCGCGCAATGCTAATAAACTTATTTCCTTTCTTCCAACCATGTATGCTCACCTCCGTAAGATTCGATCTGGGAGCACTGTGAGAAATGTGATGCCTCACTCAACTCTAGGTCGGATACTCGTTAAGGTGAGGCGCCATGCTCTGCGCGAGCTCTGCTTTCAGTCGCCTAGCTTGTGGAGATGATATATCGGGGGCTCCCTAAACACACCCCCAAGAATACCAAGTTCTCTTTTCCTTAGGGCAAATAACAGTTTGTTCTGTCTTTTGTCCAAGACCTTGAGTGTTTCTCTATGGACCCCTGTTTCAAGCGATTTTTGAAGATGCTGAATGGTCAGAAAAAGTCCATGGTGACAACATTACTGATCCGTGCCTTCATTGCTTTCTACATAAGTGATACCCGTGATCCAAGTGATGGTCTGTCAATTGCCTCTTTGCTTGCTCTTGGAATGTGTTTTTTTTACACCAAATCGCCTTAATTGCATTGACTGTCTATCAGAAACCTGCTAGATTTTTCCATTGAAGCGGTTGTGGTCATTGGGTTTCAAGCTTCCTTTATTATTGGCGTGGTCACAAAAGAACCTTGCTCCTATGCCTACCTCACATCAGTAGAGGTATGGGTATATTCAATATTACCGTTGAGTCCGCCTTTCCGTCCTTAACCATTTGGGGACCAAACTTTATAGAATATTTAGTTGTTGTTAAATGGCTTAATGTAAGGATGGTTCCTGGGGCCTTTGTTGTAAGTCCAGTTTTTGTGCCCAAAGCGTCTGACTATATCGCAAAAGGGTAGAAAATATTCTACAGGTGCCGGCTGCTTTTACCAGTTCAAAGCTTTTAAAAGCTCATATGAACATTTCAGCGTCGAAGCAGATTTCCACTTTCCAACCATATAATTAAAGGGATTGAGGGCTCGTGGTGTTAAGCTGTGAGAAACTAAAGTTCAATAAATACTCCTCGCACGCCTAAGAGGTGCTGCGAATTGTCCTTAGCCTCCGTTATATATACAAAGTTCAGTTTCGTAATCATACAAACATTTTTCGACATTACGGTGTTATCAAAAAGCCACACAAACAAGTGAATGGGGTGAAAACTGAGAATGTGGATCACCCGTCAACGCCATATTTCTTGACATCACATGTCCAGAGGACTTTCGTTGCAGAAACTGATATCGATTTAAAAGATCTGTTTCGTCTTTGAAAAAGAAGACAGCTCGCGTCTCAGCTATCAAAAAACACCTTCAGCTTCCCTGGCTTACAGAAAGCAGTCTTAATAGGCTCTCGGCCAACAGAGCTTCAGAAATGTCAGCAAGTGCTTACGGCTAACGCTTGGAGAAGGTGTCACTTCAGAAAGTCTTTCCAACGTACTTTTCTTCAAGCATAAGTGACTCACTCTGGAAATGAGGTGTAAGTGGAGGCATTTTGTCAACTCAGCCATGTACCCGATGCTTTTCTTACTGCGCTAGTCCTGACAACAATTCCCATTTATATTAGTGCTCACCATGTATTTCACCTTCCGCTCCGAGCTCCGTACCAAATGAGCCCGTTCTCTCTCAGGTCTGTTCAATGAAAGTGTGTTTGCTTCGTGACCTTCAATTTCTTGACATTTTCATATAGATAAATCTTGATTGGAACATTGCAAGAACCTTGGCCTAGAAAAATTCAAGTCGGCTTTAATTGCCTTTACCTATCTTGAGCTCTCCACGGTCAGCTCTGAGTTGGGAGAAGAATTTTAATTTATGAGTGGCAAAGTGCGCTTGGAAAGAGGAAGCGCCTTATAGCATACACTGTCAGCGGCCCAGATTAGTATTTGATTAAAAAGTTAAAAATTAATTTATTTCAATCAAAAATATAAGTTTTATTTAGGATTATTAATAAATACAATAAATAATATAATAAATAAATTATAATTTTTTAACACAAAACATTTGAGCCAATTCTTACTGGTCCTCCTCTGTAATATTCTCTTCCATGCCAAAACCAGCAAAAGATAATCTCCAGTCAATTGCCGCCCTTTACTGGCTCTCTCACTCCTTACACAGCACTCATCGCTCTTCTTCCGTCTCTTTCTCTCTGTAATATTCCCATATATTCTCTTTTCATTTAAACAAACTCTCACCTTCTCTCTTTCTTTCACATTTGAATTTCTTTAGTTTAGCAAGCTCTTCATCATTCCTTTTTCTCTCTGCTCAGAGTTCAGTTTACAATTTCAATCTCTCTGGCTCATCAGCATTAGCTGCTGTACTCGCGCTGGTATCTCCTGTACTTTGGGTAACTGCTTCAGTTGTTCCCTCTGCTGCTGCCTGAGTAGTACTGCCCTCACTGCCTGTCGTAGTAGCGGCACCAGCACCACCCGCAATCGGTTGACATTTACACGCATCACCTGTACGCTGCTCAATCCAATCCAAATATTGCGAAACGCGCGTATAGACACCGGGTGCATTGGGTCGTGCACAACCCTCACCCCAAGAAACAACACCAGCCAAATGATAAGTCTTCGTGTCGTTATTGCTCACATGCAGCGGACCACCACTATCGCCCTGACAAGAGTCCTTACCGCCTTCGGCGTAACCGGCGCAGAGCATGTTGTCTGTAATGCGATTAGCGCCATATTTACTCTTGCGACAAGTCTCCTGCGACATGACTGGCACTTGTACCTCCTGCAAGTGCCGAGTTTAGCGAGATATTTTGACGTACGATTAAGTATTTCATGCACTCACCTGCAGGCGATCAGCAATGTAGCCGCCCTCCTTTACTGCACCCCACCCAGTGACGACAGCCAACTCACCTTCATATGTCTTCTCAGACTCGGAGAGGCACACTGGTCGCAGCGGCTCACGCAACTCCAATGGTTCGGTGAAACGCAGTAAAGCAATATCATTATCCAAATTTCTAGTGCTATAACCATCATGCACAAAAATCTGATCCAACTGCCGATCGATCGTGCTAACGCGACCATTGGTGCGATTGTGCGAGAGTAGACGCACGGTGACTTGCCGCTTATTGAAGCCACGTACACAATGCGCCGCTGTGAGTACATATTGATCGTTGATCAGCGAGCCGCCACAGTAAAAGTCGCCGCGACGCAACAACATCGCCATCCAAGGATATTCATTCACCTCCGTCTCCATGCCGCCAACAATGCGATGGAAGGTGTTAATGCTGCCGCAACTACAAGTCGCGCAATTACGTGAGGGTGTACTCGGTGATGTGGAGCTCGGTGTGGCAGTTGTGCTGTTGGGTCGAAATATTGAAGTGATCCAACCGATGATGTTGTCCTGCCGTAAAGCATTCGGTGTCTCCTCAGTCACTGGTACATTGGAGGCGGCCATCGACAAAGAGACGTGTGAGCAGAGGATGAGTGCTACAAGCAAGATACTTTTCAAAGCCATTTTTCTGCACTTACTTAGTGCTGGCGAAATTTACTTTAATGAACCGTTAAGATGTAGCTACATGCAGCAACTGATTGCCACAAATGTGCGCTGTGAGCTTAGAACTGAATACCATTTACTTGAGCCTCAATTAAACCACTTGGCTAGCCGGTAGTGGGCAACTTACTGGTAGTCCAATCAATTGACGGTCATCCATATCCTCAGCGACAACTTTTCAAACAACTTTCCCAAGCAGAAACCGGCTGCGATTGGGTTTAATTGGTATGCAAGTTGGGTGCAGTGGGCCAATTCACGAAAGTATGGCGGTCAAAGCACAGCAACAACAGCAATTGTTATGGAAAATAACCGCTATAGCTGAGAGACAACGCACGTGAAACAAAAACAAATATTTACACGAGCAACAGCGAGCGATAAGTGACCGAAAAGAAAGCTCCCAAGCTGGTGGCAAATAAAAATCACTCAAAACGTACGCGTCTTGTAATTGAAAGTCTTGATTTTAAATGACAATTTTTTTTATTATTTCTCATATAATAAATAAATAAATATGTGTGTTTATGAAAATAGCAAGTAAGCGCAAAATGTGAAAAAATCTAACCTAAAACTATTTGACAGCAAATGAAAATTCGCTCACTCAAGCGCTCGCGACTGCGCATTCCCTGCTTTGCTCTATGTCTCTATAACTGTAACTACACGTTTCTCTCTTCTTCTTTCACCTGTCAATACTTTTACCTTTCCTCTCTATCTGTCATAACAAATTTTTCCCCGCTCTTTTTCCCCTCTCCCACGCTTTTTAAAGACCCACTCGCTTTACCTTTATCTGAATTTCAAAAACGTATTCAATTTCTCTTCCCAAAATCCGTTGCGGTCTAATAATTTACCATTTTTCTTCAATACTTTTTTATCTTCTTCGTTTCCGAATGACAAAGACATGCATTTCTGGTGATCGTCTTGATCCAGGTACCATAGCGGTTAACACGCGCATATACACCCGGAAATCCCGCCTTTGCACAACCTTCACCCCACGAAACGACGCCGGCAATTTGATGTTCTCGCGTACCCGGCGCAACAACGTGCAATGGTCCGCCGCTGTCTCCTTGGCACGAGTCTTTCTTGCCTTCATCGAAACCGGCGCAGAGCATGTTGTCGGTGATTCGTGTTGCGCCATAGCGTGACTTACGGCAGTCCTCTTGTGACATTATTGGCACTTGAACTTCCTGAGGAAGGGTGAGAAATAATATATATATGTATTAAGTAGAGGAAAATTAATTAGATAAGTTAGTATTTGGCTGGAAGAGGTGAGAGATCTGCATTCTAGCGGGGTCTATTAACTATTTAGCTACTCCCTGCGGGTAACGGGCTCAAGAATTTACCTGGGGTAAGGCATTCCAGTCGTAAGAGGCGACTAAAATCCAATAGTTCCCGCGACAGTCGGGTCTTTATTCCAGAACGACCCGGATTTTATTCCGGCCAAGGACTGTCACTCCCGCAACATTCCCCAAAAAGTGCTTTGGGAAATAATTTTGCGGTTACAACAACAATAACAACTATTTAACTCTTAAAAATAAAATCCGTCAGGAATAGAGCAGAATGAATTTAAGCATTTTAAGTGTCGAAGGTTTCCTAACTCATTTCGAAACTCTGATGATCCTCACGAGGTACATAACTTTGGCGCCAGCTTTCTTGTATAGAGGATCTGGCAATATGGTTTAAAAAATCCGTAACCTAGCATATAAGAGATGCGGTCATTTCCTTCCGCTTAAAATCCAGACAGCTTCAGCAGCAACTTCCGCGTGTCGTCCTATCACACAGCGACCTGCCAGAACTCTTGTTACCTTAGAAATGTCTTCCCATTTGAGTACTTTTCGCGTAATTTCTTTCTTTCGCTTTTTGACTGGTTTTCTCAACACTCAGCATTTTCTCTCCCTATTTGATCATAAAACTGCATTTCGATCGTTGTAGAATCTCCAATTCAAGCTCTGTATAGAGTAAAAATTATGAGGATTGAAGGTAAAGAAAGATCTGATCAACACAAACGACGATAATGAATGATACAGGTCCTGCAAAATATAAGCTGGGTATTTTTATATGATTTAGAACTCTATTCTGAGATTTCACCATCTTCTTTAAGGGAAATTTCTGATTTAATAACAATTTTTACTTCTTAATGCATCATCTCAGTAGAACAGAAATTGAGAGTTTGCTCCTGGAATTTGTGGTGAAAGATATCAGCTCATAAAAATATCTGATTCATCAACTCCATCCACAAGAATATCTATGTTTGGTATCCAATAATTGCAGAGAGGATGTCTTTTTGAGTAGAATTGTACTATCAAGAACATACAGATCGAAGGAGCTGGCGTTTACGGTTTATTAATCCAACCATCATCTCACTGGAGGCTGGCGAACGGGATAAGTCACTGAGAGATTCAAAGAATCTACTTATATCGAAAGGAATCGGAACTCTCTAAAGCATGGCTCATATTTTTAAGACCGGTGTGGAAGTTTTTTCTTCTTCCGACTTTCAAATGAATGGTTATTAGGTTAGTTAAACTCAACTCTTAAAGTACTAACCTTTAGAGAAGAATTAGAATTAGAGTTTATATATCTAACTCGCTGAGGTTTGAGTTTTTCGAAATGGATAAATAATCTAAGGTAAGTTTAAGACGGTAAGTCATAATAAAAACGAGAAAAGTGGATTCGCCTAACTTAAAAATGTATCAGTTGTGCGTGAGGACCACTTGAAGAAAATTTCGAGATAACAAAGCTGAGGTAACAGCCTAAAAACTTTCTCACTAAGTTTAGGACTCAAGCCTTCACTATGATGTCAAACAAGCTGAGACAAGTTTACTAGGACAAAGTCTGAGATAAGTAAAGGTGAGTCAACCTAAAAAAAAGGCAATAAAATATCTAGCAGTAAGATTCCTTTACAATAGTTCAGGCTAATGCTTTTCACAAGATTCAGAAGTGGAATAAAAAACGTGAAATAAAAAGCTCACCTGCAGTGTATCAGCGGTGGGACCACCAACTTTGATGGCACCCCAACCAGTCACAATAGCAGTTTCACCCTTGAAGGACTTGCCTGGCGTGGGCATGCACACAGGATGCAGAAGTTCTGTCATCTCAACAGGCTTATCGAGCTGTATAATGGCGATATCATTATCATATGTTCGCGCATTATACTTCGGATGCGTAGTAATATTGGCAACATTACGATCGATTTTCTGGAAATGCGACATTTTGCGATCGTGCTCGAGGAGGCGTACGCTAATACGTTCTCTACGAAAGCCATAAACACAATGTGAAGCAGTAATAAGGAATTGATCGTTGATGAGCGAAGCAGCACAATAGAAACGACCACCGTACAGTAGCATAGCCATCCATGGATATTGATGTATTTCAGTCTCTTGACCACCAACAATACGTTTCTGTGTATTAGCTATGCCGCAAACACATTCAGTGCAGTTGCGTGGTGGATTCAGAACGATTGGTGGTGGCGCTGGTGTAGTGCTAGGTGCCGCAGTGCTGGTGGTCGTGCTTGGTGCGGCTGTGGTGCTGGGTGGCGCTGGTGTGGTAGGCGCCGGCGTGCTTGTCACTGTGGCAGGTGATGCTGTCGCTGGTTGAGGTTGTGGTGGCTCCGCAGTGGTGCTGGTCAAACCCTCTGGTGTTGTTGTTGTGGTGGTTGTCGACAATCCTGGACCGCCGAGTATTGACGGGCGATTGGGCAGCAGGGAAAGCACCCATTGTATGAAGGTGTTCTGCGATTGACGCAGAACCGCGGCGGGTTCACTTCTTAAACGCAACAAATTCACCTCATATGTGGCATTGGTACTTGGCGGACAAGTGGCAATGAATGCGCCTGCTATGAGCAGGGCGTAAATTTTATTTTTATTAAACATCGAAGTTTGTTTTTAGTGTTTTGCGAATTTTTGGGTTTTACGGTAACACTCCAGCACACTTTATCACTACAACACTTCACTTTACTCTACTCTTGTACCGGACACTCGCGCATTTCTCCACAGCCGAACGCTAACTGACCGTGCCGCATCGCATTAGCACACCCGGTAGCTGACTGTTCGATTAAAGTGGGCCACTACGAGCTGTGTTGATGCTTCTCTTTTGCAATTTGTATTGATAATTCGCGCTCAGCTACGTCGCAATTGCCGTAGGCTTACTGCTTGTGACGCACAACGTTACAAAGGTGTACTGGTTGCTTAACCGCGTTTTCGGCTGGTCAGCAGCGTCGCAGGCGTGATGCGGCGTCTTAAGTGGCGAAAGTTTATGTCGTCGCCAGAGTCACGATTTGCGGTGGTAATAAATCGACTTTTACTTCAATGTTTGTCGCGCTCGCTTGGACAATCTTAACTGTGCCAAGCTTTGCTACGCATACCTGATGGTGTTTCGTTTCTCAATTTGTCTGTCAACTATTGTCTTTTCGTGTAGCGCTCATTTGTTAGGTAATCATTTTGGTGGCACTTCAATTAACACTTCAGTCCGCACTTGACGCGTGGAGTCCCTATTTGGGCAGCTTATTACAACATTTTTATTGATTTTTAAACGGATTGTCGTGCCTCTTTTCAAGCGTAGTGTTGATTCAAGAGCTTATAATATTTTTTTTTTTTTGGTTTTCAAATCACTTTCTCAAGCCAATGGAAAAAATTTTTAAAATCAATAAATTGGCAACCCTCTCTTCTGCCCAATGAAATGTGGTGAGCCACATGAACTGTGACTACCTCTGAGGTTCTTGCTGAAAGTGTTTTGAGAATAATATGTGGATGTAATTCCAAGGACAAACTATCTATCTCAGCTAAGATTCGGCAAGTCCACAGGCTTGCATCCCTATTTTCAGTTTTCGGACACTACTCAATAGCAGAGGCTCTGTCCCGCTACCAAATTATCAAACCTTACCTTACTTTGATTAACAGAAACGACTTTTAGTGCTCACCCAGTCGAATATTGCGCTAAAATGTGGGCTTCCACCTTAAATGGGTGTATAAGCTTTTCACAAGTGTCGTAAGGCTCAAAAAAAAATATGGAGCTCAGTATGGTGGGCAAACAAGAAAAAAAAAATCTATCTTGTTAATCCAGTGGAAGGCGTGCAGATTACTTCTGTCCGATTCTTGTGGGCAGGCATGTGGAGAACTATATTCAATCTCCAGCGGGCAGCGGTTCAAGAACATTTCCACTGCAGAGCATGTCTTTTGTCAGAGACCACTAAAACCCAAAAAAGGTTTTGATAATTATCTTGATAGATTTGTTGGTTGAGAGGGGAGGTTGTATAGCTGATTTAAAATATGCTACTGCTTGAGACTGGAGCTTTGAGAAACAACGTAAAAGACTTAGTAGCTACGATAGCAAAGGATTATAGAAAATTAATACTAGTTGGGGTCACCCTTCGACAGGGAATGTCAGGCCCTCTATGTGTGTTTCATAAAGATCCATCGGCGTTTCGGATCAGAATAAAGTGTGGGCCCTCTATTTATTGGAAAAAAGCATCAAAACGCATACCACAAATAGGAGAAGGAGCAAAAGACTCAGCTCATCCAACGCTCCCTTTATTATTACTTCGTTGGAATCATTTCAATCTTCTCTGTTAGAGTTGTTGTTCAAACATGATTCGATTTAGTCTTAGAACAGGCGACACTATTTCATACCTGAAGGCGTCCAGAACTACGTAAGCTTACATAACTGAATCAGACCTCAAGTATAAATTTTGAAACCCCACACTCCGTTTAGTGGGAAAGCAAAACTCTCAGTGATCTGCTGTTGGTCTTGAGCTGGCACAATTCGTTTGAATTCGAATTGTTCCCAACGGTTACCTCAATTCGCGCTCTTCAAAAGCCATGAGTACTCCTGACCGACCAACCAATCACCTACAAGATTCGTACAAAAGAACGCACATTACAATACACAGATCGAAGATTAAAAGTTGAAATAAAAGCCGGAAGCGAGAAAACAATAAAATAAAAGTCAAACAAGATCTCAACATGGATTAATGTGAGACCAATTTGGACAACATGAGTCGCAGAGCCAAAAAAAAAAAATAAAAATGGAATATTCGCTGTGGCCCATGGCCTGCGGCTGTCAACACGGCTCACTACACAAGCTCACACCACAGCTGCCAACACAAATTGGTAACACTGCAGCAAATGGCACCCACACAGCAGTCCGTTCGCAGGTAAAACGGGAAGCGGCGATGGGAAACTACGTCGTTGGATAGCAAAGTAGATTAAGAAAATAGTGAGGGCAGTGCTGAGGCATTGAAACGTTGAATTTCTTAGCTGCGTTGCGGATACAGAGCGCGCGGTTGAGGGTGTCTACATTGACTAGTTAGTGTGCTGCAGCAGCAGGTTGCAAGCGCTTTAGGTTTTGGCAACCGAATGTGTGAGGAGCTGTGTCAGTTCTGGCTTAAGCTACTCACCTGACAGGCAGTCGTTGAACAAAAAGTAGATTTTTTTTGTAATTTTTTCGTTTTATTTTTGATTTTTTGGCTCACCATCGCGCACCAGTAAATCAAAAGATCCAATAGCAGCGTGTTGCAAATAGATTACCTGGTTCGTGTGGCTGCTTAACGCGCTTTTATTTTTCTTTCTTTTCTTTGTTTGTTTTTTGTGTTTGGCTTCCTCTGGCATTTTACTGCTCGCTCGATTTTTGATGAAGAACCAAATAATGGTTTAAGTGATAAACTTTCGGCGGCTTCGCTGTGCGCCGACAATGTGTTTGCTGCCACATAATCGCTAACGGCGAGTAAAATTTACTTAGATAACAAGCTGGTGTTGTTGTTATTGTTGGCTGCAAGTGATTTTTTGCCTTTGTAGTGACCGATTTTTTTTTTCCTTTTTTTACACTTAAGTCTTTGCACCTACACTCCGAACCGTTGTTTGCTGCTTGGCTTTGAGTTGGCTTTAACTGGCTGGTGAAATATTTTCCTTTTCCTAATCAATTGAAATATATGGCCACAGGTTGTAAAATTTATTGGGGCGAAAGACTTTTAGGATTGAAAATTGCGAAAAAATAAAATTTACACCTCACGAAATTAATAGAGCTAGTTAGGTAGGGAAAGGAGGAGAGAGGCATGAGGTGAAAATAAATATTTGTTAAAACTTGATAAAATTGAAGCAATGATAATGTTACTGGCAATTGTAATGGTAATGGTATTGGCAATGAAAATGCTGTTGGTATTGGTACTAGTACTGGTAATAGTACTGGTAATGGAAGTGGCGATAATGACAATGGAATTGTTACTAGTAATGGTTATGGTGCTGGTATTGGTAATGATAGCGGTAAGGACATTGGCAATGTAATTGGAAGTACGTACTGATACGGGTAATGGCATTGGTATATAATAATAAGGATAATGATAATTCATTGATAATGATTATTAGTGAGAATGGTAATTGCAGTGGAATTGGTAATATTAGTGGCTCGAGTACTGATACTATTATTAATAATAGTAATGCTAAGGGTAATGATAATTAAAATCGTATTGGTAATTATAATTATTGGCAATTATATAAGTAATGGTATTAGTATTGGTAATGGTAGGGCTGACGATAATGATATTCCATTGAAAGGAAGTTGAGGCCTTAAGGTAGAACATTCGATCTACATTACTTTGGTCAAGCTTATTTGCGGAGGTTAGATGTACTGGAATTCGCTGGAAAAATTAACTTTGGTTTATCAGCTGCAAATCGTTCAATACGCGACTCTCAACAGCTTCAGTCGTATATTAAGAACTACTCCCACCCTGGCACTCAACGTCAGGTTTATTATATTGCCTACGGTAGGTGGGTAGAAAATCCGCTGTAAACTGGCTGAATCGCTGGATGTCGCCTTAAGCGTGAAGCACTCCGGTGTTCGGTGAGAGGCTTGAATCTCTCAACTGTAACTGTATGGATTATTGGTTCTTCAAACTAGTGTCTAGGTAATGGGAATTCAAGCGGTAAACCTTAGTTGTTTGGAAAAAAATTTGTCTAACCTAACCTAATCTAAAGTAACTTCCGCCGAGTCAAATTTTCGTTTAACTTGTTTAGTTGGAAATTTGAAACTTTAAATTATTTGAACAGTTTTCATTAAAATGTGAGCTTTCACTAAAATTCGAGCTTGCACTGAAGCATGAGCTTTCACTTAAATTCGAGCTTTCTCTAAAACGTGAGCTTTCACAAAAATGTGAGCTTTCACTAAAATATGAACTTTTCTGCCAAAAATTTCATGTCTAAACTAATGTTGTTGTAATTGTTGTTTCTCTACCAAAACTTTCATTTTATCTCCTAAGTTTCCAAGTTTCTAAAGTTTCAGGACCAGAATTTTTCACTAGAGTGTACTTCTGCCGCAATGCCACAAAAAAATTTAAATTTGTTTGTCGATTTGATTATGAAATATTTTTAATAAAAGATATTAAATAATTCCGATTCGAACCTTTAAGAAAGCTTTCTTGTTCTTAGACACTTTCTAAAATGGTCACAGTATGCCATGAGTTTCTACTTCAATTAATTTAATTTAAACTTTCAGCATGAAAGCTCTCACCTAAATTTAATTCCATATCCTCTACAATTCAGAATAGGAAAAACTAATAAAAATCAATTTTATTTCAATGAGCTTTTGTTTTCGGTAGTGCAATGAGCTTATTTTTTATAGGTATGTATTCGTAAGTCTGTATATACCTTCCCATATGTATCACTTACTTTTTACCATTTTTCTCTATAACCATGAACTAAATTGATTTAAATCATCACTTCAACAACAACAACATCGCAAACCAATGACCCACAGCTTACAAGTGATAACCCAAAAATCACGTCTCAGCACGTGTGAGTTAGAACCCAGTTGCCAAGTAAACCAGTTAAAGCAAACTTTAAAACTAGTTTGCAGACCGATTCCTACTCTTCAACCCGCCATGTTTATCTTAAGAAGCAATTGATATTTGTAACTCAAAAAAGGTGTACAAATTGGGAAAGAACTAGTCCTATACTACCTCCAAATTAATAATACAGTCCCCAGTGTAGCTTTAAGCAAAATTTATTACTTTTTGTCCGAAATGGTAGAGAAGGAAATAAATTAGTAAGAAACTAAAAAATTAAAATGCATTGCTTTAATTG